CTCTAAGATGTTGTAGATTCATTTAGAGGAGATCTTCTGATCACAAAGTCTGTTGGGCAACCAGAAGAGTCTTCTCGGTTTGAATAGGTCGAGTGTGTACGGTTTAGAAAACGCGACCAATCATCAGAACTTGGTTGGGGCTGGCGTGCACGTCTCGGGTCATTGGCATTGAGCGGGTAGCGAGGAAGTCGTGGGTCTCAGCATCGCAGGGTTGCAGCGGGTCGTCTCCGGGCACGAGTTCACGAGGCACGTCGGGTCACGTTGTCGAGGACTGAAGCTGGGATCACGTGTGCGTCGGGGCTATGCGTATGCTTCGTTTGACGTCTCCTGTGTTAGTGTCACATATCCTAACATTCTGGTCGCGATCAGGTCGCGTGGGCATCTTAGGTAAACTCGCGCAGTGATGCTCGGTGTCGCACGGTGGTGATTGAGAAGGGCCGACAATGGTCCGGTGCTCGATCTCTCACATGCTCAACTACCTTTGATCTTCTATTGGATTCCTTAACATCTCTAGAACTCCCTTTGTGAGAAGGAGAAACTAGATATTTCTGTGTGTTATGTCTTGCAAGAGAAGAGAAAAAAGTGTATTTATAGGCTCAAATAGGGAGCCTAAGAAGGCATTAAATGGCTTCTCATATTCGGACTAGATTATAGGCCAAGCCTACAAGCCTAATAGGAATAATGTATTCATTCCACTAAAGTATTATTATTGAAATACTCCCAATTTAATTCCCAAATTACGATGTGAGCTACACTTTCTAATATACTCAATTCAACTCTCATGTCTACGATATAATATCCGTCAATTTATTTAATTACTGATAATTAAATAACTAAAGCTAGCATCGTTCAATTATTATAATTATTTCAGAATTTAGTCCACCTGCAGGGTTTAATATAATAATCCTTCTGAACTCACTTTAGGGATATCATCCAACCTCAACATTGTGAAGTACATGGTAACCGTAAATCTTATAACATAACACCATGTCATGTAGGAACCACTACCCTACCTAGACAGTTATTGGTCCATATCAATAAACCTCACCTTGTTGAATCAAATCAGTAATTACTACATACATGTGTTTGTTTATAACTTAAGGGTTAAGAGAATGCAATAATTAGTCAATGCCTAGTTCGTTTCAGCCGATCAATATAAATGAACTGCTCATCTCTAGGATACATTCAATACACCATTGTTTACTAGTGTGGCTAATCAATCAAGATCAACTGTACCGCCCACACTACAACCATTCTAATGGATTGTTCAATTTCCATCTAGGTTGGGAACTAATTATTTATATATCGCAAATAATCGATAAATGATCTTCTGTCCATCCATGATGAACCATTTATTTAGATGCAAAACAATAGAACATAGAACTTTATCACATCTAAACTCAAGCTTTCCGTATACACACTAACAAGGGGGAGATTGCCTTGAAGGCTGGTGTCTTTCGTTTGGGTCGATGTATTCTTGGTTCCTGAGTCCAACGTCTATAAGTTTATTGTCCTTGTCATTATTGTTTTGGTAGGTTTCGTCTAGATCGGTCAAACCTCTGCCCAAATTACCAGCTTTTCTTGTCTCCTTGTCTTCATGTCTTCCCTCACGACTCGACCTCCTCTAGTCAGGTTGGTGTCGTTCTTCCACCTTTCTATCTCTTTCTCATATTGTATCAAGCTTGAGGAAATCAACCTCGAATTTTTCCATATTGATGTACTTGGAGTACCTTTCCAACAACTCATATAGGACTTTGTAAGTCGCTTGGATAATGATTTCTTGAAGGGACCATGTCCCAGCCCTCTGTTTTGTCCTCTTGTCTGACCTCTTTTGAGGCTGATGGTATGTACATATTCCTTGGTATATCAAGCTACGCCTCAAAGACTCTTTTGCTCTTCTATTGCATGTTAATTAGTGTCAAATATGTCTTCTTGTGCTTACGCGCGCTAGAAAACTGATTTACAAACATTGAGCTAAACTCTCGAAAATCCGTCACAGATCCTAGTGAGAGTTGATGAAACCAATCTTGAGTAGGACTTTTTGGCGTGGCCAGAAACTCCTAACAACAAAAATGGGTCGCTGTATTTGTGCAACATAACCATATTCTCAAAGCTCTTTCATTATAGAGTTAGGTCTGTAGACCGAACATAAGATATGATCAACTCTCTGAAACCCTGCGGTGGATCCACATCGAGCACCTCATAAGCAAAAGGGTGTCAACGGAGCTTAAGACCATCTCCAGTTCTCATCTCTACTCTAGTGTAGAGCTTACTATACTCTAGAGAAGAGCGAAACAAAAATCAAATTTGGTCTCCAACCCATCGCTCTACATTTTACTCCACATATATTATTCATATTATTTTAATTTATCTAACATGCCAAAATATTATTTAATTAGAAATATTATTTTATAACATAAATACATTCATGATGTTAGCTTGTCTGCTACTAGTTTGGAGTATTGTTTGACAAGGAATAATTATTTGTGTATATTATTTGATTCATTTTAGAGTAATTCAACATAAATATACACTTTTTAAAAATGATATTTTCATATAATTCCAAACTTAAATTATAAATTTAGTGGTACAAACTTTGTCAAATAATAAATTTTAAGATAAATCAAATACATGTAATATAAATCTAATAAAAAATAAATAAAAATTATAGAGTAATGAATAGTACCGCGCCAGATGTAGTGCAATACTGTTCATAACTATAGAGTAGTGAAGAGATGTAGCGTAGCGTTGGATGACAATCTTGACAAAACTTTAGCGTAAAACGCTAGAGTAGCGCATCATTGGGGCTGCTTTAAGACCACGTCGTCCCTCGATTTTTTCATGGAGCTTGCGTAGCTGGGTAGCCATGCGTTCTAGAGGCGGGTTTTTTCGAGCTTGTGATGCCACACTAGACAAAGAATTATATTTCTCAGACTCATCGTTCCCCCGCCTGGTACGGTATGCAAGTTGCATGGTGACCTCTGGCGCCACGTGGCAAGTTGGGTGCGCACTGCCACCCGCTTCTACGATCATTCTTTCAAACTCTGACCAGATGATTTGGATGTCT